TCCCATCATGTTGGTGACTCACAAGGATGTTGTACTCTTTAAGGAAGATCCCCCAAAACCCCAAAACCCCTTTAAAAAAGATTTATAGGGAAAAAGAGAAAATTAATTTCTATGAAATTCATCATTATTTTACCTTTTTATCAGGCATTTTAGACTGTAACTTACCAAACTTAGCTAACAAATCATCATATCTACGTTAGAACCATTAGCCATCCTAATCAAATAATCCACCGAATTCCTAGCATACTTTGGCAAGAGCCTGATATCTCTCTTAAACATCAAATCCAATGGCATATTAAAGCTTTCTGAAGCAAATCACACAATAGTAGAGAGGTCTACTTTAGCATTCTTAAATATGATTGCTTCCATTCATACAGCATTCATGAAATGTGCAATGTCTAATACCAAACATGTGCCCAATCTCATGAGTCATAACTTTACATGCTCTGTATAGCATAAGATTTTAGCCATCATCCCCCTCATTCAATTCATCACCATTAAATCCTGGATCATATCTTAGGAAACTAAATATTCCTGCTTGAGTCATTACATTTGCCAAACCAAATACGAATGAAAAATTTTCTTCAGGGTATATGTCTTAAGTTGTGACAGCAATAATACAAATTGCCCTTGGGTTTTAAGGTTTGTACACTCTGAACAGCCAACTTAATATTTTTGAGGCATTATATTAAATCAATCCTGGTGTATCAGGTGCATATTAATCACCAGGGAACTGTCTGGTCTCTATTTTTTCAATTGTATTAATATCCACACTTGGCAAAAGCTTTATTCTACAACTATAAAAAAATGCTTCACACATTTTCACTAGATTCTTAAGAAAGCTTTTTGACATTTGCTTATCAAGAGGTAAAATGCAAATAGTATCTGATTTTCCTTTCTCTACTATAGCGTTTTTGTTAACTTTGAACTCCTATAGAAGGATATTTTGATGAGAAGATAATTATATTATTTACCTCAAAAGTCTAGCCTGATTCGTATTCATTTGCAAGCCAGTCAGATGGACCAGGTGGATTAATGGGGACCCAGTAGTCATCTACATTTTCCAACGCCTTTTTTACTTTGAAATTTGTTCCACCCATTGATCCCAGAGCTCTTTTCCTCTCTTCTGCATTAGGAACTTTAAAATTTTAAGGAAGTTTTTCCATAGACAATTTTTATTTATTAAACTTTAATGAAAGCAAATTAAATAATAATAAATCGATGATTTTTTTATTGTATATTTATTTACTACGATAGTTGTTATGTTTTTTTTTTGGGGTTTTGGGGTTTTGGGG